AACAGAGTCTCCCTAATTTACTTGGGGCCTCACTAAGTTAAGGAGGTTGGCCTCAATTTGTGTTCCTCCTACTTTAGCCTTTGGGTAACCAGGATAATAATGGTTATTTTTTGACCCAGATCAAACAAAAAGGGAAATGGTGATGAAAATTTTCTAATTATTAAAAGAACAACAGAAAAAAAATGAATTAGGAGAAGCACTCATAAGTAAAAGAGACTGGGTAAGATGTAATTAATGTGACCACATACAATGAGAAACAGAAGATGAGGGAAAACATATCTGGTATGCAGTCTCCAAACAGTGACGAAAGATACCATAAAAAAAAGAAAATCTCATAGTTTGATTATCAGGTAGTGTTGCTAAGTAGGAGAAGCTAAAAATTACTTGGTAAAAGAAAAACAATTATTATGGATTATTAGAATTCCAAAATCAAGGTGTTTTACTATAGGGAATGTCTATATACAAAAATTTTTACAAAAATTACTAAATATATAATCATAATCTAAAGCACAATAATCCTTATGGGTTTTCTAGTCTATGTTTAAATCCTTCTATAAGCAAAAACCTCCAGATGTTAAGTATTATGTGTAATGAAACAATTACCTTATTTATTCTGGACATCATATTTTTATTAATGCAGTCTAAGAGTGATAGCTTTTCATGGCTAGGCATATGATACTATCAAGATAAATTAGTAATCCACTAAAATTGTGATGATTCTTCAGGTGAATTTAGTTATATCTAACCCATCCTGTAGTAATATAGTTAATTTTTAACTCTTCATTTATCCTTACTAAATATAATCCTATTAAGTTTGGGGGAATTTGCCTCAACCTGCCAAAACCTTTAAAATCTTATTTAGTCCTTGAAATCATACAGAGCATTTCCTCTGACTATAATGGAATCAAACTGGAAATCAATAACTACAACAAGAATCTCCAAACACATAGAGATCACATGACATACTTTTAAATCCATGAATCTAAGAGGAAGTCTCAAAGGAAATGAAAGTATATATAGAAGTGAATAAAAATGACTATATAACATTAAAAATTGTGTAATGCAATTAAAGAAGTCCTGAGAGGGAAATGAAAAAGGCTAAATACTCACATAAGCAAAACCAAAATGTCTTAAATAAATAATCTAGACTTATACCTCAGGAATCTAGAAAAAAAAAAAAAAAAAAAATCAAAGTAAGCAGAAGGAAAAAACAATAATAGCAGAAATCAATAAAATTAAAAATAGAAAATATTACTCAAATTAAAGATAGGTTCTTTATAAAATTAATAAACCTCTAGCAAGACAAGTACAGATAAAAAATAGAAGACATAAATCACCAACACTGGGAATGAAATAGGGTATTATAACAGATCTCACAGTCATCAAAAGGATTTCAGGGAATAATACTAGCAACAAATTTATGCTGGTAAATTCAAACAATCAGAAGATATGAACCATTTCCTCAAAACCTACAAACTACTAAACCTAGCCAAGATGAAAGAGAGAAAATTGAATAGTCCTATAACCATTAAAGAAATTAAATTTATGATTAAAAAGTTCCTTCAATAGTTCACTAGAACCAGATGATTACACAGGAAAAATCCAATTAAAATGTTTAACAAAGAATTAACACTAATCCTACACAACCTACTGAAGAGTTTTCCGGAAAACTCGGAAAAGGAGAAAAACTTCCTACATCATTTTATAAGTCCAATTACTCTGATATCAAAACTAGACAAAGCATAAAACCTAAAGAGCAATATTTCACATGAACTTACATGCAAAAATTCTTAGTAAAATACTGACAAAATTAAATTCAACAATTCATAGAAATACCATACCACATGGGATTAATACCAGGTATGAAAGGCTAGTTCAATAATTAGAAATCCAACAAAGCAATTTACCACATTTATATGACTATAGAAAAAATCTGTGTAACAATGTCAATTGACATAGAAAAAGCATTTGATAAAATTCAACAACCATTCATGATAAAAAAAAATTCACAATAGTAACCGAGCTAAATTTTCTTTCTCATAAAGAGTTACTACAAAAATCTCCATGTATTTAAAATCACAGTTAATAGTAAAAAAGTGGAGTGATTTTCCCTTAAGAATGAGAACAAGGCAAGAATGCCCACTTTTCACCTCTCTTATTCAACAAAATACTGGAAGTTCTGTCCACTATAATAAAGCAAGAAAAATAAATAAAAGGCATATAGATTGGAAATGAAGAAATTAACCTATTTCTCTGCAGACTACATGATTTGTGTAGAAAACCTCAAAGAACCTAGAAAAAACTATATCTAATAAGTGAGTTCAGTAATGATAAAGTACTTACAATCAGAGCATGGAAATAAACCGCATGTGGAAACAAATAAAAATCCAATACCATTAACAATTGCTCTAAAGATAATAAAATGCTTAAATTTTGTACAGAGTTTGTTAGATTTATGCCTATGTAATGAAAATTATAAAATGTTGATGAAATGAAGATCTCAAACTTGTAGGGATATCTATGTTCATGGATTTACTAGACTCAACATAGTTAAGATATCTTCTCAATTTTGTGTAGGATTAGTACAATTACTATAAAAATTTCAAAAAAGGTTTTGTAGACATAGAAGAGCTTAATTAAAATATTTATATGAAAAGAAAAGTTTTTGGATTGCCAAGACAATTTTGAGAAAGAATAAAATGAGATGAATCATTCTTCCTGATGTTAAGACTTACTATATACAGTTAGCAATACCGTATCATCATGATTATTCTAATTGGAAAATCTGAAATCTGAATCAAATTTCTAAGCACTTTGGATTTTTGAATTAGGGATGCTCAACAGGTATAGTCTATGCAAATATTCCCAAATCCGAAAAACTTCAAAATCTGAAATATTTATGATCCCAAGCATTTCAGATAAAAGTAGATACTCGATCTATACTTACAGAGGGATAGACACTGCAAGAACCCAGAATAGAGGACTCAGAACAATCTATACAAATAGTCCAATTCAATTTTAACAAATAATGAAAACCAAATCTGCAGAAGGAATAACATTTTTAACAGTGCTGGAACAAATGGACATCCATAGCCCCAAAATTAATTTCAGCCTGCATTGTACCAACACAAAAATGAACTCAAAATGTACCATGGACTTAAATATAAAACTAAAACTTCCGGGAAAAAAAGGTTAGAAAAAAATTTAGAACCTAATTTCTTAAACTTGACACCAGAGTATGATCTATAAGAGGAAAATGTGATAAGCTAGTCCTCAAGATTTAAGTTTTGCTCTATGAAAAATGAAAAGAAAAATCACAGGCTAAAAAAAAATTAGCACATATCCAACAAAAGACTTGAATATAGACTACGCCCCAATATCAATATTAAAAAACAATCAATCCAATATAAATTGGGCAAAAGACAGAGACATTTCACCAAAAAGGATACACCGATGGCAAATAAGACACAAAAAGGTGTTCAACACGATTACCCTTTAGGTAAATGCAAATAAAATCACAATGATCTGTCACTATACACATATAGAAATGGCTAAAAATAATTAGTGCTTACATCAAATGCTGATGAGTATTCAGAGAAACTGGATCACTAATATACAGTTGGGGAATATAAGAGAATATTGACATTTTGGAAAAAAAGTTGATTAGTTAAAAAAAACAACAACTAAATATATAGCTCCCATACAACCTTTAAAATGCCCTCCTGAACATTTTATCCAGAGAAATGAAAACTTACTTTATAAAAGAATTTTATAAATATAAATGTATATATACATATACATATATGTGTGTATATATATATATAATTAGTATTTCTTTAGTTGTAGTTGGACTCAATACCTTTATTTTATTTGTTTATTTATATGTGGTGTTGAGGATCAAACCCAGGGCCTCACGTGTGCCAGGCAAGCACTATATCGCTGAGCCACAACCCCAGCCCTATAAATATATATTCATAGCATAGAATAAACAGATTCTAAAATCTAATTAAATGTCCTTCAATGGATAAATGGTTAAACTATGGTAAATGCATACCACGGAATATTACTCATTCACAAAAGGAATAAACTATTGTACTAATATATGCAAAAATATTGACTAAACTTAACAATGATTGCAAGAAGTCAATTTTAAGAAGACATGTACTGTATGGTTCTATTTATATAACAGTCATGAAATAATATCATTATAACAAATTATCATCATTTGCTCAGGGTTAAAAATGGAGAAATGGATGAGCATCGCTGTAAAGGGGTTGGATAAGGAAGTTTATGGTATAGGGATATTAAAAGTATTGAGAGTGGTTACATGAAACTACATATGATATAATCACACAGAATTATATATACACACACAAACAAATGAAAGCATGTATAACTGGTAAAATATGAATAAACTCTGGATTGCACTAATGTCAATATTCTGGTTTTGATATTGTACTACAGTTATGTAAGATATTAACAGAGGGTCAAACTGCATGAAGGATGCATGGAACCTCCTTGTGTATCAATGAAATATCATGTGAATCTACAATTATTTTAAAATCAAACATTAAGTTAAAAAACATTTAATTCTCTAAATTTATTAATAAAATCAAATATTATTTTCAAAGTAGATTTTGGATTAGTAACAATCAGTGTTTAACAAATTTATATTATTGGAAATGAAATTTATAGCTTGACAACAATTTCTCACATAGTAAAGGCTGAACATGCTCATATGAGAAATGCTTTCTTATTAACATAAGAGAAACTATCACTACTTTGATTTTTTCAGTATGACATCTAAAATAATTTAAAGGGAGTAAGAACTATACCGGGAATAGCACAGCATCCCATTTCTGAGCAAAGAATATTCCAAAATCTGTTTCCTTGGGAAAATATTATTATCAAATCAAATGACATAGACATGATCAAAATTAAACTAAAAAAGAACAGTTGAGTCTAAATAATATTAATATAAATTGATAAGTTAATTTTACCTGATTTCCAACTTTGCCACTTCAGGTAACTCTCCAAAATTTATCTCTTCTACCTCCAGTTGTTTAACAGCAGCCAGAATTTTCTGCTGATCTTTAGAGGTAATTCCATTCTAAGTAGAAATAATTTTAAGGTGTAGTTAAGATAATTATACTTGAATAATTTAATCTTCAAAATTATCAAAGAAGTTTTCTACTTGCATCCTGAAAAACAGACATATTAGAAAATAATATACTAAAACATGGTTTGATTGTGTAACTAACGAGGATATTTACATCATTAAAATATTTAGGCATACCGTTAATTACAGTAATTTTTTTGCAATACATAATAGTTGGAATAGACTAACAAATCCAATTACTAGATTTTAATACATAATGGTCAAATCAACAAGATACAAGTTGATTTACTTAAGTAGTATACTTGTTTTGATTTTTAGTGATACTAATAATTTCAAGTTTCTAATGTGTTCAGGGAACAAAATCATTGCTTTTTAGATAGCCTATTAAAGTATCTTTAATATTTCTCACATTACTTTTGAATTGTTACTTAATATTATTAGATGTGAAAACAAATAATGTCTTTTAAAAATTATTTTTAGATATACATGACACTAGAGTATATTTTGACATGTTATACATACATGGAGTATAACTTATCCTAATTAGGATCCTCTTCTTGTAGCGGTATATGATGTGGAGTTCCACTGGTTGTACATTCATATATGAACAAAATAATGTCTTGATAGTTTTGAAAGACCAACAATAGTGGTACTATTTGGAAGACACATACCTATGCCTACAAACATTTAAAAAATACTTCTTATTTCTAAGAAGTCTATTTTACAAATCTATTCACATTTGGAAATAAAACACTGGTTTTAATTGAGATATCATGGCCACCTGAAGGAACAAAACCAAAACTTTAAGTCTTTGAATGTTTCTAAAGTAACAATACTGTAATCAGATTTTAGAATTGGTTATTCATAATCATATTTAATCAAGAACCTAAAAAATATCAATCACAGTCTGTAACCCTAGAATTTTTGAAACAGAAAATAAAAGGAGGCCCAATTTAAAAAAAAAAAAATCAATATATCTGGAGTTTTGAAAATGATACTAACCTTTGCAAATTCATCTTTTTTCATGGTCAAAAGTTGTCTTAAAGTTATATCCCTTTCCTGTAGAAAAGGGAAAATAAAACCCCATCACCTTTCAATATAAATAGTAAAAAGCAAAGTAGGTAAGTGTACATAAGATAGTTAACTGCTGTACTCTTAAACCACTTCCAGCTTTCTAGAGGGGATAGAGATGTAGACAGAGAACTACACTATTGGGTAGATAGTATATATTCACTAAAAAAAGTATAAATATAACTAGTATTCCAGATTCAAAAAAAATGATTACTTTCAAATTACTTTTCAATTCTGCTTACATGAAAACAAATCTATAAAATGGAATTGAAATTATATTTATACTGAAGAGTTCTCCAAATAGATAAAAGTTTCAAAATTGTTCAATAAAACCCAACTCTAAAACACCTGAACAGAATGTGCACACTCCTAAGGGGAATCTATTTTAAGTACTACTTTACTACTTCAGTATCCTCACAGTAATTCTCATCTACTCAAATCCACAATGTATGCTTACGGCACCTAGGGAATGGTTGGCATATGATCTAATTTAACTTTCAAGAAACCTTATGTTAGCTACTACTGTTCTTAAGGAAAAAAAAAAAGTTTAAGTAACGTATTTCAGTCAATAACCAGAGCAAGAATCTGATGTCAGGTTTGTTTGGTTTAAAATCATGCTTCTAGCGTTCTATACAAGAAAATCAGCAACTTCAAAAACAAATGGCTTACATATTTACAGAGGACTTAGCTGGCAAAAATTGTCAAATTCAACCAGCATAAACTTTATTTAAATATCTATAATAATAAAATTTGGGGATACTTACTACAAGTTTAAAATGAGATGTATTGCAAATTATGCAGAAAAGGTATAGCATTAATTCATAGGTATCTTTATGAACTGAAATTTAATGTTAGGTTAAACAACAAATCAACATATATATAAAACTCATTGTAGTTTACCCAAAATCTCACCTTTAATAAGTCTGTCATATGTTCCAGTCCAAGACCATGTAAAAATATTTCCAGATCTCCAAATGCTGTGTATGAACTATACATATTTATAGCAATGTCAATTTCAGAACAGACCATAAATGTACAACTAATAAATATATACTTATATTTTACAGAAAAAAATAGAATAGTAAGAATGAGTCTATATAGAATATATTTGTAAATTTACACTCCAGATTTGATGATGTATCAAAGGAATGAGCAAGTCTTAATTCTTCCTGCCCACCCTTGGGTTGGATATTGAATCTAGGAATTTTTGAACAGGCTAAGCAAGTGCTCTACCACAGAGCTACACCCTCAACCCAAAGCAGGGTTTCCTAAACAAAGATATGAGAGAAAATGCTGATGGTAAAATGTAGTTCATCTTTCCTAAGAATGAAAATATTCATTAACATATATTCCTTGTAAAATTTATGCATGTAAAAATCTCTTCAACTGTGATAAGTAAAAATTAAATATCAGCTTTAAATGGGGTAAAGAATAGTTTATGGTCATATACCAAAAAATAGTATTCAGGAAAAAATATTTTTAGTTTTAGTTTAAAAAATGAGTAATATGCTAAAAATACTCAGAAGCAAGGGATAATACAGTTTGAATACTAACACAGAAGATGAATCCCTTAAAATAAATTTTATTGGTATTTTACTAAAAGTTTACATTTAAAGCCAAAGTCGTTATATGATTAATATTAGTACACATAAATAAAACCGTCTAAAATTAGGAAGAACAATGCACTTAAAATCCAGACATTTCTAAGTGATATTTAAAAATGCCTGTCAAAGTTTAAAATATCATATATCTTAAATAAGTCACCACATTTACTATAAGTAGTAAAAGCATGCATTTTTAACTTCTGTATAGGAATTCCATTGAACTAAAATATGTTACCCAAATATGTGATCTTTTTCCTTATCAGAATCTGCTGTTAATAGTTTACAAATAGTCTCTTCTTTAGTTAGCTGTTGAAGCTTTCCTTCCAAAGGATTTAAAGTCAACGAAAGAAAGTTGAAGATCTGAAAAGATTCACAAATTAGTCAAATATAGTTAATATTTTTATATACTACAATTGCACTTAAAACGAATGACATATGATTAATTTTCAACTGGAAAATAAAATTTTAGCAAGGTGTAAGGGTCAGAACTTTCATGACCTGTTGCCCTGAGAATTAACTTTTATAAAATCAAGTAAATGCTTTCTTGACCTAAAATAACCAGAAAAGAGTTTTAACTAATTCAAAATAGTAAAATTAGAGAAAGAAAGTAGTATTTTTAGTAATACATAATACAAAACTAAAACACCACTTTAACAAATGACTAAGAATGATTAAGTAGTAAGGTAGTACTTGAAATACATTGCTAAGTGGGAAGGAAGCAATAAACTTGCTTAAATATATACAAATCCCAACTATATACCTCAAAGCAATGTGGTAAAATTTCTTAGTTTTACAATCTAACCTCTTAGTTTTACAATCTAACTTCAAGGCTATGTCATGTAATCAGTCAAAATATAATATCAAATCTCATGTTAATAAATGATTTATGATTCAATATAACCTGTGACACTCTTAATTATTATATCAAATTCAGTATCATCTGCCCAAAATTTAATGTAGTAAACCGATTTTTAGTCTTCAAATTTTCAAAGGTTAGAAGAAATAATGCAAACAGCTTTTTGATTTATTTTTATTTTTTTTTTGTTTAGTATACTGGAGATTGAACCCAGATGTGCTTAACCACTGAGACACATCCTAGTCCTTTTTATATTTTATTTAGAGACAAGGTCTTGCTGAATTGCTAAGTGCCTTAATAATCTGCAGTGCTTGCCTTTGAACTCTCCATCCTCCTGCCTCAGCCTTCAAGTTGCTGAGATTATAGGCATGCACTACCTTGTGGGCTTTCTTTTTGAAATTTTGCAAGACTTTAGCAATTAGTCTCTACTCTAGAATAATTTTAGAAATGTACATTTTATTTGGAAAATAATATGCATGTTTATTAGACTGCTCAAAAATTAATGAAAGTTATTTTACATGCAATGTAAGTGGCATGGTCTGACAATTATGTGATAGAACCTGCAGAATTTCATATACTTTAAAATTCAGAATCTCAGTGTTATGAACTCTTGAACTTAATTTACAATGGTATTGTACTTGATCTATGCTTAGAAAGTACAGACCTCTGGCTAAAGCTTTAATATATAAACCAAAAGTTTGTATTCATAAACTAATTTAATATATGGCAAATATTTATCATTGAGTTTTAAAATCTGAATGACAGCAGATCATACACCCGAGTATGTTATCACTTTACCACATAGCTTGTCACACATATAGGAATAAGTGTTGCTTAAAGGATTTAATGTTTAAATTGTCTAACATCTACAAATTAAAATTATACAACAATGTTTTAAGTCCATCTTGATACTTTACTGTTGCAATATGTAAGTTAATTTTAAAAAAATCTAAACCAGTTTGTAATGTTAGTCTAATTTCATTACTAGCAACACAGTAAGAGCAATATCTTTTTATATAACTTATCACATTATAAATGTCTTAATTTAGTAAATGAATAGTAGAAAAATATTAATTGGTTGGATAAAAAATTATTTATACATTTAATAATATCTGAAAAACTATTGTTACACTTGTGAATTCCAACAAAATAACATAAAAGTTCTACATAAGATAATGTGACATACTACAGAAAAATTACTTTAACATATAGATGGCTACCTCAAGATGTTTATTTCTTTTTGCAATCTCACTTGGTGTCTTTCCATCTTTGGTTTGTAGCATTTTATTAGCTCCAAGTTCAAGCAACTTCAAAACTACATTTTTATGACCTTGATGTGCTGCCCATGTTAAAGCCTATAAGGGGAGGAAAAGCGGATTGCTTAAAGAGAAGGAGTGTACATGAGATAGACAGAAAATGTTTCCAAGAGTATTAATGGCACAATAAAAAAGAGAAAATGGTTAATTAACAGGATGATGCAATCTTTTCATTTAACAATATAATATAAACATATTTCCCACATTGTAATGTAAACATACTTCCTACGCTATAATTGCAAAGCAGATTGCAATATTCACTGATTTTATAAAACCAAATAATATTTTAAAGTTAGGCACTGTTATGGAACAAAATGATTTATTTGCCAATCACCAAAATGTTTTCTACAAAAAAAAGAATCCTTAGTATATTCAGAGTCCAGGTTTTGTTGTACATTATAACTTTTGTCATGAATAATGACTACAAGAGTCAAATAATTCCTTTTTTTCTATTCATTTGTTGCTGTTTTTCACCAGTGATAATATCCTAGCTCTTCTATAATTATTACTTCTTAAAAACCCTCTTTGTAATAAAACAACCAAATATCTATTTTGTAGATTATCAACAATAATAACAAAATAGCAAAAATTAAAAAGAAATATTGTAAAAGTGTTCCTTACAGCATAACCATTCTCATCCTGGGCATTAACTTCTGCTCCATGTGCAACAAGGAGAGCAACAACCTGAGGGTGACCATCCCGTGCAGCATACATTATAGGAGTCATAAGTCTTCTAAGGAGGAAGAAAAAAAGAAAATTTGTTTTAAGACTGCCATTAACAACTGCTCAATTTCATGAATTTAATTATACACAATACTATCAGTATTATTTTGAAAGCAAAAAAAGGCATAAAAGTATTTAATAAGTCAGGTGATTTAAAAATTTAATTTCTAGCAAAAAGTAAATATAAAAAAAGAGATGACACTTAAAGTACTGAATGCTAACACAGCACCCTCTAGTGAAGAAAAGTATTAAAATATCACTGAACCACACTTTCTAATGATTTATTAATTTATATATTCACCTAGGAAATTATTAGGTTACCTGCACTATGCTTATGCTGGGGATACAGTGATGAATTACACAAATAAGGCTCCTACTTCACTGGATTTGCTCATTCTAAATGCTTATTACATTTTATTTGGCAAATTGCCAAAAAATGTAAAATTTAAAACTTTCCCTTATTTTTTAATGTATCCTTATTATGATTCTATTTTAATTTAAGACTAAAATAATTTTATTCTGAGTTGAAGGCTTACTCCAATCAAGAAAGAGATCAGTCCAATAATTTAGCATGCCTAACATTTTTTAAAAGTACTTTCTGGGAGAGAACAATGGTTTCTCTTTAGTTTATTATTTCCCAAAATTAGAAATTCAGTCCCTCTACTACTCATGGAAGTTAGTCAGCTTAGTCCTATTCAAAAGGACACTAGAATATTCTATCAGTTCTACTTGGGTTGAATTTAACGCATGGCCTATTTTCAAAGGGGATCTGATATTCTGGGACCAATCTTCCTTAATCACCCTTCAATATCTGATTTACAAACAAATAACTTCAGAAAACAACAAATAAAATAAGTTCAAAATTCTGCATTTTTATCTAAGAAAGTTTATGTTGGATATTCCTATTACTTACAATACCTATAAACAGAAATTTTCTCTATAAGGATTATTAGTGTTAGGTATATTCTAAATTTGATTATTTCATACCAATGTTTATAGCAGAAAACAATTCACACATTTATCTGTTTCTTCTGTTTCCTAGTATAATTCGATTGTCTTATTTTAAACTATATGCTAACTTAAAACATTCCCTCCTTTACCTTGAATGTTCCCTACCTAGTTGTTTTATTAAGAAAGACCATTTTTATAAAGTGAAGATAGGATTTTCTGGATAATTAAGCAAACATAAAAAGTACATGCTTTTTATGAAATTATGAATCAACTAATTATTCTAATTCTTTACTACATCTAAATGAGACCTCCTGGTGTCTCTCCTCCATTCCACATCCCCCTCACAAAGCCCAAATCTGTAACCTCCTCAAATCTTTCCTATTTCACTAAGCCATCATTAAATTCATTACTCAGGCACAGGACTAATTAATGAGTCTTCTCTATCACTCCATATATAAGTCATCAGGAGGTCCTACAGGCTCTACCTTCAAAATATATTCTGCATCTGAGCACGTCTCATCACCTTGTTAGCCATGGCAGTAGTCCAAACCATATCATCTTTCTCTGACCTGTATTATCGTAAAAGCCTCATAATTGTTTTCCATGCTTTTAATCTTGTCCACTTAATTCTCTTTAAAAATGCCAAGTTGTTCCTTTTCAGGGGAACAATGTTACACTGGTTTCGGACTACTGAGAAAAGCTGAATTTATCAAATGGAACAGCAAAATCCTATCCAGTCTAGCTTATCCAAAATTAATTGACTTTTTAATACTGTCTAAGTGAAACCAGCAATAATGTTGCATGACAATTCTGAAAGGAAAAAGAGTAATTCTAGTATTTCCTTCTTGTTAAAGTTTAATGAAGTAACAATTTCATTAACTCCACAGGAAAATTTTTAAAAATTATATTAACTGATCTATTCAAGTAACATGGTAACTATTTGTGCTACTGACACTCTTTCAATGCTAATTTTCATTTTATTAAGATTCAATGTAGAAGCTGGGTTGTGGCTCAGTGGTAGAGCACTCGCCTAGCATGTGCGAGGCCCTGGGTTCAATCCTCAGCACCACATAAATAAAGATATTGTGTCTGACTACAACTAAAAAATAAATATTAAAAAAAAGATTCAATGTAAAGAAGTCTTACTCTTTTCAAACTACTGCAATTTGGTTCTGCTTGCTCCTTCTAACAAACAACTTTTTTTTAGCTTGTTGTATTTTCATTAATTTTGACTTTTATCGTTATCAGAAATTTTCCTTTGTTTTACTTCACTTAACACTAGTAATGTTTAATATCAAAGTGACTTTCACACTCTTTTTCTTCAACCATTCTAATGATGAGGATTTAGCTATTTTTTTTGTTGTTGTTGTTGTTTTTAGGGCAATATCTCGGTCTTTTAGGTGATAAATCAACTACGTTCACATTTAGTATAATGACTGGTATACTTGACAAAATTCTTTTCTGTTTTTGCTGGTTTACTACTCATTACATTTTCCTCTTGAAAATCTGGTGACTCTATGCTTAACAAAAAAAATCTATTAAACATTATATTTTTCTTTGCTCTTAATATCCTGCAACACATAGTACAACTGCACTCAAAATGTTAGCTGTGCCTCTACTCAAGATGATGACTTTACATTCCGATGTATACGCAAAAATGTCTTTATTTTGCCCTTACTCTTGAATGGCAGAATGACATTTAATATGACTAAAGATATAATTACAGATCCCAAGTTTATTTCTCAGACTATTTGTCTCCTTCCATATATAGCTTCTATATTGTGAAATACAATAGAAATTTCTGTATAGAAATTGTCTTGTTAGGTAAACTGTCTCTTTAGTAAGCAACTTTAAGGAATTTTGCTTTATTCTTGGTATTTTGAAGTTCACTGTGACGTGTGTTTATTGTAATTTTAAATTAAAATGTATATGCTATCTATTTGTGTATTAATTTGCCATGAGCACAATAGATCTTTTAACCCTAAGGATTTGTGTCTTCAGTTTGGGAATATTCTTGACCATTATTGCTTCAAATACAGCATACCTTCCATTTTCTTCTTCTGGAACTCCTATTAGATACATGTTAGAGTTTCTGCCAAGATTTTTCATTTCTTTTAACTTTTCCTTGTGTTACCCTCTGTGTTGTACTCTAGGCAATTTCTTCATATCTAGTTTCTAGTCCATTAATACACCCTTCAGTTGAGTCTCTTCTGCAATTTTTCATTTTATTTAGTTTTAATAGTCAACAATGGTTTTCATAATTCACTGTACCTGTTTCATAATCCCTATTTGTTATTTGTAAAGGCAAATCCCTCTTTTATTCCTCAGAGCAATAAAGTCCTTTTTAGATTCTATTTTCACTAATCTAAGTCAATCTTTTGTAGAATTTATTGTCCCTGTTTCATTTCATGATGCTTACCTTGCCTAGATTTTAGTGATTTATGGCTGTACACCCACCATTTAGATCCTCTAAATACAGAAGACTCAAGTCACTAACCTTCACTTTGCCTATTACTAATGCAGTTTTTAGATACTGCCAGAGTTCCCATCTGATTCTTTCATCAGTTATTTCTTTTCCATTCATGTCATTCATGTTCGTTGTTCACTTGTATCTACATATTTGGTTTTGCTCTTTAGAATGGGATCTATACTATCATTATGTTCCCAAACTGGTCATTATTTGTGATTTGAAAACCAAATGAAATTTGAAGTTTAGGATTAAAAAACTATCTCATTTTATACTTTTTTATTTCTAACAGTTTCTGAGTTGATTATCTTGGGTTTACCAAATATATTATCAATATAATCTTAATTATAATTTTGTACTCTCTTTCCTAATTAAAAAAAAAGATCTAATGGCTTAATCTGAGGGAATAGAGTTTAATGTCATAAGTTGGAGATCAGCAAAATTTTCCTGTAAAAGGCAAGAGAGTATACCTTTTAGGGCTGGTGGAACACACTGGGATATGCATGCCACAACCACTCAACTTTGCTGTTTTAGCATGACATGTCTATTGGCATAGACAAGACATAAATGAATCAGCACAGCTGTATTCCAATAAAGCTTTAGAAGTCTGCCAACTTCTGGTTTAAAGTACAAACTATGGTTTATACTAGGTTCAAATCTAATTTTCAGCCTTTCTTGGGTGAATAATATTAAGCATGTTTCTTAAGTTTTTATTGCCTCAGTTTCTACACATATGCATAAAAAATACTTTCTACCCTTGTGGCAATTATTTTTTATACTACCATAATCTGTGATAATGAATAATAATGTTCAGTAAGAAAACTACCAGGCACAAAAAAACCACTTTGTCATTATTAGTTATTTTTATTAACTACATTTCATTTTCTTTCTTTTTTTT